GTCCCTCCAGCGCACGCCGGTTCATCGACTCCGATTCGTAGTACTTCCCAAGAGATTCTAGCACACTGGCCAGGCTACTAAAACTTGATAGAGTGTTTGGGTGGCTTGGCCCGAGAATCTTCTTGTGCCTCTCTAGTACACGCCGATTCATTCCCTTTGATTCATTGTACTTTCCTTGGGATTCTAGCACACTGGCCAGGTTGCTGAATGTTGATAGGGTGTTCGGGTGATCTAGTCCAAAAATCCTCTCATGCCCCGCCAGTGCAAGCCGATTCACCGTCTCCGATTCCCAATACTTTCCACGGTTTTTTAGCGCAAGAGCCAGGTAGTGGAAAGCCTCCAGCACGATGGGGTTATTTGGGCCCAATGATCCCTCAATATCTGCTAATAAATCCCGAAGTATCCTCTCGGCCACATCTGCTTTTCCCTGATATAAGCTGGCCACCCCCAGGAGAACAGCCCTCTCTTGATATCCCTCATCCCAGCCATGCTGTGTATTTTCTTCCCGCAGTGCTATACATCGACGCAATTGAGCTTCTGCGTCATTGTAGAAACCCATATGTATAAAGAACTGTCCCAGGCGAAAACAAAGCTCTTTGGCAATAGGATCCGTAGAGTGTTTGGTTACCGCAAGTGCATGGGGAAGGTATGCAGAACCAACGTCTCTCCACGTGTTCCAATGCCGAGGGAACAACCTCGAAACCACTCCCAGTGCAGTGGCCCTCCATCGTTCCAACTCCTCTATAGGTAAATACGCTTGTAAAGACAATTGGACCAAACGATGAAGTTCGTAAAATGTCTTCTTCTCACGGTTGACAGTCGTAACAAGCGAAATCCTAATAGTATTCCTATGGCCTGACGAAACTCAATCGGATCATCCGTCCCTTCCAAACCACCTTGTCTCAATAGCTCCTCGGGTATATTCTCACGATCGAAGAATGCAATTAGATGCAGAAGATCCGCCGCTCGGGGCATCTGAGCCGCGATTTGGTCAAAGGTGATAAAGTACGTGGCTAGGATACTTTCGGTCATGTCCGCCCCTCGTTGCATGTCACAAAATGGTTGCGAAAGGAGTCTCCTTGCTTGTTCGTCACTCCCGCGGAAAATCTTCCAGTAAGCGGATGGTAGTGTCCGGGTTTCCGTCATGAAGGCTGCCGCTCCTGCGATAGCCAGGGGGATGTAGTGTAGGGAGTCCAAGATCAATGCGATGGCCTCATTATCTTCCTCACTCAAGCTATTCCTGTTACCGTAGCGTATCGAAAACAATACCCTGGCCTCATCCTCCCCCATTTCTCCGATACCAATCCTTTCACAATCCTGCCAGGATGTAACCCGGAGCGATCTGGTGGTGAGTATCAGAGTACCCCTTTGGCCTTGCGGTACAAACTTGGAGATGGGACCAGTGTTGCCAATAAAGTCCTCCTCGTTGTCGGCATTGTCGATAACTAATATCCAGTCACCACTGTCTGGACCTTCCAACCACCTCTTTACACTAGCTAGTAACCCCTCTTGGTCCATCTCGGCACCGGCTAATGGAATTCGGACATGCTGTGCAATAGCTCTGAAACCCTCAACGAATTTCAATACCCCACTGCCCTGTACCCAGAAAACATGACAATCGATCTCGCTTGCGCACTGATAGACATATTCGAGGGCGATCTGAGTTTTCCTAAGCCGGGTTAGTAATCCCCCGAAATATTAGTACCAATAATGAAGAGATACCCAGAACCGCCGAGTCCATGAAGTGCGATCCGTGTATGATCGTTATGGCTGCATATCCTCTTTATCGACTCAAGGAGATCTTTGCGGCCAGTGAACTTGCCGTTTCTGCCATATGGGATTATCCGATAAGGCCCAGTTCCTCCTTCCACTTGCGATTACACATTAGTTCCTTGCCGTAAATCTTTCCGGAAAACCAGTAATACCTCTGCCCTCAACTCCAAACACACATCCTTGATATATTGTTCCGTGATTGGCAGCGTTGTTCAGGTAACTCGTGTATGCGTTATCATTATTAAAACTGCCAAAAACATTATGATCCCCCGAGTTCCCACTAAAGCCTCCCCTAATATAGCTTTGGATTTGCCTGGGAAGATTGTTAGGCAAGTGCTTATCATTTTCGAGATCATAGACATTGAAGGTAAGGGAGCCCACCGATCCATCTGGTATTACGCCCACTTCTCGGGCTGTTTTCGGAGGCCGGTGTAGGAAAAGGAATAAGATCTCGCTATTGTATCCTAAACGGGTATGATAGCCTATATGTCGCCGATTGAGGCAGTCCAAAATCTTTTCGCAAACCCGGAAACAAGTGGATAACAGGAGATATGGTAGAACTGGTAGCAGAGGACGCGCCCTGAGATGTGGAAGCGAATGAGTCTCTGGTTTTGGGGCGGCTACTGGTATGGGGGGTGATCCTCCTCGTGCTCTTCGAATTTGGTGAAGTCTAAAGATTTGGCATAAGGGTAGTGAATGGGTATATGAGCGAAAAGGCAACGTCTTGGGGCCGTTGCAGCGATTGAAATTCAATCTCCGGAAATCAGAAGTCTTGGGGGTCCGAGCCAGCGAGAGGCTGGAGAAAAGCGGACAGCGCGAGTACGGTATCGTAACACCAGGGCGCTGGCTGCCGGTGGAGTTGGGGAAATGCAGCAGTGATTGGTTGACCTCCGGTCACGGTTTGGCTAGTGACTAGGATTTTGCGCATGCCTCGTTCCACCGCATGATACCTGGGACGATCAGTCACATTTAACGACCTCCTGCTTCGTACAAAGAATTTTCCTACCGGATAGTACAGTACGGTTCTCGCAGCCGTGCATTTTGGAATTCTGGCGCTTTATCAGCAGGAGCCTCTAGGAATACAGAATTGATCCTCCCAAATGATGCCGACCCCTGCGTACTGTGGGGGGAGGAAATGTGTTCGTTTTCTTTTGTTTAAAACTTGTGTTTGGTTCTGCAATGGCGGTTAGGGTCTTGTTCGATTTGCTAAGGGTTGATTGTGACTAGCCATGGTGATGTGCAGTGGACCAGAGAGGGAGAAAAGGCATTTCCCTCCCTTCCCCGCCAAGCAAGCGAACGGAGAACGAAGAACATTGAACTATTGAAGAACGAACCTGTGGAAGAGAGACTAAGGCAACCTACAATTGCAAAGTTTGTACCTACGTTTGGGAATTTACCTTTAGTGTTTCTTTTCTTTTCTTTGCATCAATTTAATTTGTACGGACCTCCCTCGGATCTCTTTTTTTGTGCGTGAAGGCTGGATTTGCCCATTCGATTTGTAAGTGAGTGAAGCTTACCTGTTTTGTGTGTTTGGTTTTCCGACCCCGATCCGTCCCTTTTCAGTACTCGTACACGCAGAGAGCTGTTTGACCCCGCCTTGGAACACACCTTGCAAAGAACACCATTTCCCGATAACTTAGGGGGTTGCCCCATCTCTATAGTGAAACGAACCGATCAGACAAGGAAAGCCCCAGCTCAGGAATAAAACTGCGAAAAGAGACGAGAGACAAAACTCCTACACAATACATTACGGTACCGATCATAGTATGGCGCGGCCCCCGAAAGCCAGCCGGCCCACGTCCGGGCACGCTGCTGGGAATTCTCAACGGAAAGGGGACAGATGGCATCGAAGGTCGCACGGGGTTGGAGCACTACCGATAAATGTCAAGCAAATCTGGTGGGCTGCGGCCACACAAACCATGCTATTATATCATACCCCTGCGAGAAAGCTCCTGTCGCCCTTCCCCCCCCGACGAAGAACCATTCCAATCGCAACCGCGGAGAGTACTGGTATGATAGCCCACTCCTTGCGAGTACGGTACAGTGTCGTAGAAAACTCGGTCGGCATAAAAAAATGTCAAGCCGGTTCCTGTCTCCTTCCAGATTCCTGCTAAAAGCCCTCCATCCCATCCCCCCAAAATTCTCGCGCTTGCATAGACCAATTTTCGCTGTACCGGTACAAGTCCTCGCACCACGAGTGCGGAGCGAGCATTCCAAAGCTTAGATGCAGGTCATTACCTGAGTGCAGTGTCATTTGCGGAACTGTAAATGTGGAACTGAAGCCGAAAAGAGTGCCAGGCCCGTCCATTCCTCTCACAGGACACAGGTTCTATAGGGATTATTACATCGGGTTAACAGCTAGAGGATGGCGAGGGCAGGTCTTATGGGTGGAAAGCCTTCACAGCGGTAGACATTTTTAGCAACTACAAGTACAAGCCGTTGGTGCGGTGCTTCTACCGCCGACCCCTCTAGCGACGCGAGACTCGAATCGTTGTTGCAAAGATGCCCACTAGGAATCGAACCCGGGGGGTTTGAAGGGAGGCAGGTTGAACCGAGGCTTCGGAAAACGGGGATTCAAGCGCGGGTGCCTTTATGTCTTGGTATTATAAGCGGAAGTGGTAGGATATATAGACCCTGGTTGCTCGATCTCGAAATCGTGGAATATATGTTAGCAGAGTTAAACTAGGAGATGAAGGCAACCAACTTCAAATAAATCCACCACTAGACTAGCTCGTAGCTATCATATCAGACAAGGCAATTCCTAGTAACGCCGGTTCCCGCCGTTTCAAGCGAGCAAGGGCCGGTTGGTGGTGGTGAGCTTGCAGGGTGGCGCGTTAGGGTTCGGAGGTGTGGAGAGACGGGCCGCTCTAACTACGGAAGGTGGCTAGTTATCTAGGCATGTACTGTACTACAGTGGTACAGCGACTAGACAATAGTCTTGGTGATTGCACTATTTGAGACGGAGTCCGTGCCCATACCTGTAGGGTATTGTGATTGCGCAAGTTGGGCAATCTGACAACGGTGATGAACAATACTAAAAATTACAGTCCAGAGAGGAAGGATTAAATATAGAACACCATTCTAGATCCTAGTATTTTGTATACCACTCCTTAGCTTCCATCACAGTTGTCACCGGAGGAGGTGCCGGCTCCCGGAAACCCCCAAAGCTAACTGGTACAATATCTCATATGAGTGATAAAACCTGAGCAAACTAATTGCATGCTTTATCAGAACCACCCCCGGTGCCCAAGACATCAGGGCACTGCTTATGAAGTCATCAATAAGTTCAGCCCAGGCACGCTCAATCGGGTTATTCCAGATGAGAAAGTGGAGTGATCTTCCTGATTTATTCCACTCCATTCAAACCAGGCCTGGTAACTAGGCAGTGCATTGGGAGGGGGGGGTAGGCGGGTAATGTAGAATTGCATTATGGCATTTATTATGCCCAGTTGAATGACACTAGAGGCCGTTTAGTAACCATACAGAAGCCAGAACACACCAAATTTACAGGGTTTGGTGTCACAAACACTCCACAGATATCCAAAAACTCGGCTTTGAAGAAAATATTAAAAATTGGACATGTCTGAAGTCTAATATACATTTGTTTTGGATTCTTATTTTTTTCTCCTGCTTGTAGAGAACCGTGGGCACATGAACTGGGTACTCGTGCCAAGGTTGCAGCGCCTTAGCTGCAACCTTGGCACGAATAAGGTTGGTTGCGATGTTCTAGCTCGTTCATTTAGTGTGCGGACAGTCCACAACACTAACCCACCGATCTCTGACTTTACAACACTCGATCCCCACCCTCCACAGTGAAGAAAATGAGAACTACTAAATAATTGCCTATTGAGAGTATATTTAGGACATGAAGGTGTAATTGAGCGGGTGAGAATCTTTCTTTTTTTCCTAAGAGGGCATGATTTTCTTCTTCCTCGTGGTATGGGAGGGTCAGGGATACAGACTGTCCACATAGCAAATGAACGAGCCAGACTCAGCGAGTACCGTTCCCATACAAAAACCTTCGTCCTGTCATGTACCCCACAGGGATGAGTATTCCACAGCTCAAAATTCTAGATTAAAGGGAGAAAATCCCACTCTTTTTTACGTGTGTACTATCATAGCAGATTGCTTTTTGAAAATTTTCTCCCTTACGCTGTTTCCTCTCATGGTGGTTGTGTAATAATAGTTCGAGAACCGCCACTTTTGGTGTGCTTTAGCCTGTCGAGTTACTACACGACCTAGATGATAACGGACGAGTGACTCCACATGATTCCGGGGAGTCGAGGAGCTGACCGCGGGGGGCTTATCGGGTGAGAAAGTATAAGAATTTATTACTGTAACTTACTTCCTATCCCCAAAAGAGAAAGGGGGGGATAGAATTTGAAATACAAAAGATGCCCAACACTGCTCTCGTACCGCACTAAATTCAAGAGCTCGCCACTCATGGCATCTCTAACTTGTCATTCTTCCTAGTCCTGCACGGTCTGCCGTTGTTACCCCCTGTAGAGCCCTACAGCCTCTCCCGCCAGTTGGAGCTAGTAGTTGTATTATAGTAGCCCACTCGCATCACCACTAGTCTAGCCTATTGAGATGGGTAGCCCATAGGAGTGGGATGAGGAGTGTAGAAGTGAAGAAAATAGAGGGGTTTTCATTCTTGGCTGTTCAGGCACCTTGTTTACCTGCTATTCATTGACTCGGCAGAGTGGCAGTTTATATAAAAAACATGGCTCTCTCCTCGCAAAGACATAGTTTCTCCCTAACACCTCTTCTTCCAGATCTGAGTCTAGCTCCTTTCCAGCTATATCCCCCGATAGGCGATACTAGGATAACAAATTTGGATTAAACTTCCTCCTCAATCAGTCTCGGTATCACACTGCTAAACCTGAAATCACCAATCTCCTAGTAGCCCAAGCTCCTCTGCTTCGCACTTCCGGTAGATATCTGGGCGCCACAAAAAAACAGAGAACTTCCGAGTAATACCAACTAATTCCCTCCCACTATCAAATACCCCCAAACAGGATGAAACATAGACGAAACACAAAAGGAATACAAAAGTCTTGCAGTCGGGGGACCACAATACTCCCGAAAATATTCCTGGGAGCAGCGGCGACCCCCAACACAGTCAAACTGCCTATGGTGTGATGGCCGCTATGTCGAGCTGCCACCCCCGCGGAAGACTACTCTCCCCCGCGCAAATAACTGACAATATGGCGAGCAAATTGTGGCCACGTATCCACTGGGTTTCCTGGTGGTGTCGGCCCTGCACGCTGCTCAACCGTCACGGAATTCTTACACATTCCTTGGAGTTGCAGCACCGCATCTAGGTTGTTGGCACTTAGTTTGGTAATGGGATGGTCTGGTCCAAGAATCATCTTGCACCCCACGAGTGCACGCCGGTTCATCGTCTCAGATTCCTCGTACTTTCCTTGGCTTTGAAGAACGCTAGCGAAGTTGATAACACTTATTAGGGTGTCTGGGTGGTCTGGTCCAAGAATCTTCTCGCGCCCCTCCAGTACACGCCGATTCATCGCCTCCGATTCATCGTACTTTCCTTGGGATTGTAGCACACTAGCTAGGTTGTTGGCACTTG